GATTCCACACTCAGTCACGGCGTCATCAAACTACGCCTTTGTCTCTTTGTTTATTTTGAATACGCGCCCTCCAGCGGCGAAAATCACATATTGTGCCTTTAAAGTTAAAATCAAACTGGAAAATAGAAATAATACTAAATAACATTGTTATGATCACATATACCAAAATTAATATACCAAAATACACTTCAAATTTATCATGTTTAAAGTTTTACTTTTTAAGGTTTAAGTTGTCCAAAGTGTCCTTGACTGAGAAATCACACATATATGAATGATGAAGAGATGAAAATGAAAATGCAGTGCCATTTCTTCTTCTTTGGTGCTGCATTTTGTTTGCAAGGAATAGCAAAGCAGTCAAAGTTTGAAAACTTTAAATTTCTCCCCAGGGAGGCCATAGAACCTCAGATACGGCCCATTTGTCAGAACTGTCATCCGACATCTGCTTTAGTTTTAACGATTATATTTTAAGAGCTACATAATTATAAACTTATAGGAACAGACCAACTATTTGTCATCTAGGAAAGCAGATCTGTCAAAAGGATGCGAGTTTTACATTCCGAGGCAGCAGAAGGTGGAAACTCATGGATGTTCTCCAAAAGGCCGACCCCCCCCGAGGTTCTGGCACGCCATTGAAAAACAGCTATTCACGCTGGCTCTGTGTGAATGGGTCTTTGTGATGCAATGGGCATGTTGAATGTGATGCTAACCCCACAGCCTGCTAATGCACCACACAGTTCACATCAATGAAGGCTATTTTTCTCCTCATCTCTAATTTTACTGTATAGAAATCATAGCGGTTCAATATTAATTCTGCTTATTTTTGATGATATTTTATATTAAAGGAATAGTTCAGTCAAAAATGAAAAATTGCAAAAATGTACACATCTCAGGCCATCCAAGATGTAGACGAGTTTGTTTCTTCATTAGATTGGGAGAAATGTAGCATTACATCACTTGCTTGATCCTCTGCAGTGAATGGGTGCCGTCAGAATGAGAGTCCAAACAGCTGATAAAAACATCACAATAATCCACAAGTAATCCACATGATTCAGTCAATCAATTGACATCTAGTGAAGTGAAAAGCTGTGTGTTTGTAAGAAACAAATTTATCATGAAGATGTTTTTAACTTTAAATTGTTGCTTCTGGCTAAACTACGAGTCCATAATATTGCTTTCTCCAGTGAAAAAAAGTCTTGTCTGAATCAGGAGAGAAATATGTACAGATCAAGCCTTAATGATGGCTTTGTTTCTTACAAACACACAGCTTTTCGATTCACAAGACATTAATTGTCATGTGGATTACTGTGATGTTTTTATGAGCTGTTTGGACACTCATTCTGACGGCACCCATTCCCTGCAGAGGATCCACTGGGGAGCTGCTACAGACATTTGATGGCAAATTTGGCTTTTTTTGGGACCAGAACAGGTGATATTAGTATAGAAATAGAACATTTTAAGGTTGGAGAGGAAATTATCATATTTGAGATGGTGATTACCACCACATATAACAAATTCCACCCCTTATTTTGATTATGAGAACAGGGCTACCGAAGTATGGCTTCATTTTAGTAACTACACTATTCACCACTGCTTCCTCTACATAAGTCATAGGTGACATTGTTGATATAATGGAGATAATAAGATGGAAATATTCTGTAAGAGGGCCAGACTGCCCAATTTTATGGTTAAAGAGCCAAATGTCCTCGTAATGCCTAGAGGTGATGTATAATTTACTAATGTGCGCAATTACATCCCATTTTGATCTGGCATTGCGTAATGTTATATCCTTGGGGCATTTGCGAATGGCAGCACTCATGCTGCGTCGGATGTGGGACGTTTTTATGTTGATTTATCTGAATACCAACCATATAGCGCTTTGTTATTAGATGTTTGGAAAAAAAAAGAATGTGTGAAGAAACAAAATGGCAGTGCTAGCATTTGTTTTGAACGAATATCAACAAAGATGCTAATTTAAAGTGTTTTATATTGGTTAAGCATATGTTGAATGTATGCTAAACAGGTTTCATCATGTGAAGCTGAACTTGACGTTTTTATTTGCAGTTACATTGCGCTGACCATGCCAGTTGCCGTCTTGAACACATACTGACACCTAGTGGTGTGGATGAAGAATCACGTTAAAGTTTTCAATTACTGATGCCATTGCATAAATGCGCCATTTGCAATGAGACATAAATAAGTTATTCTGTGAGCAAAAGTGATCAATTTTATGGCTTTACCAAGATGCAAGTAACTTCAGTTGGTCATGTGATTTCAAAATGGCTGCCTCCGTGACGGGACCCACTCATTGTTAAACAAAAAAGATTTTTTGGCCTGCTGATATAACTGCTGTCTTAATTTCATGGTGTACATCATTTTAATTTAAATTTTTTTTTCAAACACACTACTTAGTTATTTGTGTAGAACTTCTTTAATGAGGAAAAAGTTTTCCATTAAAAGTGAATGTTTATCATTAGTGACTTATAATGATTTATTATAGCAATATATCAACCATATTTTTTGATCAGCTCATATTCTGCCATTTCAGGCTTCCTGCTTTCAAGATATTTAAAATCAGAGTTCAGACGTTCGGTAAAGTCGTAAGTCAAGAGTTTAAAACACTAGCAGTTAGCATGTGCTGATAGACGCGATAGTGCTAATAGCACTCTTCCAGTCCCTTCTGAGATTTGTTTGTCATCTGTAACTCTGCTTAAAGGAAGGAGTTAACAGGCAGATGGGGAAACTATTATGTCCCCTAATTTAATCTGTATTGGATGGATGGCTAAAGAGGTCCAGCCTCATGCTGGGCCCTGGGACGCTTTGGATATTCGCCACTGAATATTCATCTTAGCTTAATGAAGAGGATGCGCTCAATTAGAATATTATAGAAGGGTGTGATTGTGGGCTGTCAAAGAGACGGGGTGAGAAGGAGGGTGTCCATTGTTGTTCAGTAGATCATTAAGTGCAATTATGAGCCATCTCACTCTCCTGTGACAGGAAAAGAGTGCTTGGGATTTCAAAAATGTTGATGGAGGTGTTCTGGAGGCACTGTGAGAACTTTTATTCAAAAAGTAGGTGGTGGAAAGTTTGTTTGTTTGCGAGACTGTCACATTTCAGCCTGCAGTTAGTTATTAGTGTTGCTTGCTAAGGCTGATGTCTCAAATAATGTGGCTTGTTGTGGTGTGCTCACGTGTTTGTAAGTGTTCAGACTTAAAATGTTCACCTGACAGATAATAAAATCACAATATCGTCCTGAATATGGATACGTGGGGGTTAATATGCCAGCAAATGCACAGCAATATGCTAAAACATGTTAACTTATAAACTAGCCAAACAAAGCTCCTAATGCCTTCTTGAGAGATCATTAGTAAAATTACCAGTTTAGGGTTTTGTTTAAGCTAATAGCGGAAATGACTAACTAATATTTACGTAAATTGAAAGAACAAAGTCTCAGTGCCGTTATTGCAAGGATACAAACTAATTGTGGTATTCCTACTGTTATCTCGACAAACTTTTATTCAGAAAGTAGAAATTGGGAAGTTTGTTTATTTGGGAGGATGTCACATTTCAGACTGCAGTTAGTTATTAGCAATTTGCTAAGACTGATGCCTCAAATCATGCGGCTTGT